TTTGTTCGTGGGGTTTTCTTGGCAAAGATACTGGAGGGCTTTTTTCCACTTCCTTCTCTGGTGGATAAAGGCAAGCAGGGTTAAATGACTTGTCCAGGGTGACACAGCTAGGAAGTGTCTGAGGCCACATTTGATCTCCAACAACATAACTCTTGCTGACTTCAGGCCCAGAACATATCCACTGTGCCTCCTAGATGCCGGTAAGGGTCTGAGGTCAAATTTGAACTCAGGGCTTTCTTTCCCCAGGCCCTGTGCTCTATCCATTCAGCCACCTAGCTGCCCCCACCTCTTTTGTTGTTCAGTCCTTTGAGTCATGCCTGACTCTTCATGACCCTATTTGGAGTTTTCTCGGCAAAGATACTGGAGTAGTTTGCCATTTTTGTCTCCAGCTCATTTTACAGATAAGAAACTGAGGCAAAAAGCGTTAAGTAATTTGCCCAGGGTCACACAGCTAGGAAGTGTCTGGGCCCAGATTTGAACTTGGGTCTTCTGACTCCAGGCTTGGCATTCGATCCACTTTGCTGCCTAGCTACCTCCCTATCCACCTCTACCAGGTGCAGATTGCAACAGGAGTGAGAGGATGCGCCATCCATCTCTTCTTTAACTTGCTGCTTAGGACCAGCAAATATGCTGACTTTTACTGATCTAAACTTTCTCTCTGGTCCTATCTTCCACTGCCACTTCTGCAGAAACACTTCACTGTACTCCATATAATCACTGGGTGATTACCTAGGTTACTCTCCCTTTCCGTTTTACCCTGAGGAGAAATGCACTTTATTTGTCTTTAATAGTAATAGCCAAGCTTTTTCTTAGGATTTAGAGTTGGGAGGGACCACCTAGTCTACCCCAAATTTCACAGGTAAGTTGGTGAAAACTAGAAATGTGAATTATTAGCAGATGGAATGCAGGGCATGGAGGTCAGGAAGACCCATGTTCAAATCTGGCCTCAAAGGCTTAGTAGCTATGTGACCCTGGGCCAGTAACTTTACCCTCTTTGCTTCAGTTTCCTTATGTGCAAAATGAGCTAGAGGAGGAAATGGCAAACCACTCCAGTATCTTTGCCAAGAAAACCCCAGAGAGGGTCTTGAAGAGTTGGACACAGCTAAAAACAACATTACGAGGGGCAGCTGGGTGGTGAAGTAGATAGAGCATTGAGCCTACAGTGAGGAAGACTCATCTTTCAAGTTCAAATCTCACCTCAGACACATACTAGCTGTGTGACCCTGGGCAAGTCATTTAAACCTGTTTGCCTCAATTTCCTCATCTATAAAACAAGCTGGAGAAAGAGTAGTTTTGCCAAGAAAACCCCAAACGAACTCGAGAAGAGTTGGACATGACTGAAAAGACAGAACACCAACAAGGTCACACATAATCTAAATTGAGGAGCAAGGATTTGAACCCAGGTCATTCAGTACAAACGTAACTCTCTTTCTACTCAACCAGGAGTTAGAGCAAGGGCTTCCCCTTTTTTTATTCTGAGCTGTTCCAGAGAGGCTCAAACACTGGAGTAATGGGTTTGTATAGCCTCTAAAAATAAAAGGAGGAGGAGCTCAATTAATAAAATAAACGAACCAAGACTTATAAATAGATAAGTCATAGCAAATGGCCAAATCAGTCCCTGATGTAACAGGGTAGTGGTAGCTATAATAAGGCAGTGAGACATTCACTGGACCATGTTGGGCTCTTTACTCCCTGCTCCCATGGTGGGGTTCAACCTGAGTCAAGCAGAGGGACCCAGCTTCACCCCCACCCAGTCCAGGGCCTGCCTGGCCTAATTGCATTTTGAAAATGGCAATGAAAAGCTGACAGAGAGTAATTAAAGAGCAAGCCTTGAGGTATTGAAAAATAATGGCAGAATGACCTCAGTTTAATATTTTAAAATCCTTACCAATTATTTGATAAATGAGATTTATGCAAACTCATTTCCATCACTGAAAGGGAAAAGCACATCTGGACGTAGAAGAGGATGCAGAAACAGCTCAGAAGTCTATCTTGATGAAGGGAAAGTTACTGGAATTCTTTTCCTCCGCTTTCTGAGTTTTCTTAGAATTTGCTGCCTAAACACTCCAGTGACTCCTTTGTTAAATATGAACTCACGCTTTGAAGGGTGGTAGAGCACCTGGAAGGGCTAAGGAGCTACAGAGAGTGCTATAGGGATGAGCACACAGAGTGTTAGTTCCTGACCCCGGAAAGCAGGAGTGTGCCAGAAGCAAAGTGTGTGGTGGGAAATGGCTCAGAATAGACTACAAGCTCGATTTGAGTTAGCAATGAGATATGGCATCCCCTCTGACAGCCCCACCACATTCCTCCCCCTCCCCGCCAAGAAAACCTAATATAATCTTGGAAGGCGTTAAGAGGCATCTGGTCCCCAGGAATAGGGAGGTGACAGTCCCAGGTTAAGCCTCATCTGGACTGTGGCTTTCAGTTCTGGGCACCATGCTTAAGTCAATAGTCAATAAACATTTATCAAGCTACTGTGTGATAGGCACTATGCTAAGTGCTCAGGATACAAATAAAAAAAAAGACAGCTCCTACCCTCAAGGACCTCACAGTCTAATGATTTAAGTGTTTTAAGGATCATATTGATAAACTGGAAAGTACCCAGAGGAGGGCAACCAGGAGTACCTCAAATTATAATATATGGGGGCAGCTAGGTTGCACAGTGGATAGAGCACTAGCCCTGGAATCAGGAGGACCTGAGTTCAAATCTGGCCTCAGATACTTGACCCTCCCTAGCTATGTGACCCTGGGCAAGTCACTTAACCCCAATTGCCTCACCAAAACCAAACCAAAACAAAACAAACAAATCGAAAAAACAAGAGCTAGGAAGAGGTAGGTCTATACGGTGGAGGCAATCAACCGCAAGTCAACTGAGCAGGCCATTCCTTTTGGAGCTTTGAGGCACTGCTACCCCAGGTAGGTGGGTGATCAAAGAATGACCCAGCATTTGCTGCGTCATCCCACAACTCTGAGCTCTTCAGCATGGAGCCAAGCATTTGCCTGGAAGTTGTCAAGGGCACTGAGTGTGTGATCCATGGGATGGCTCCTGCAGGCCCAGGGCCAGGCATGCTGCCAGGACACATGAAAAGGGAGTGGGGTAAAGCAAGTAGTCACTGAGCAGCTAGCTTTCTCTTGCTGGTACTCGTCAGTGGAGGAGGACAGCAGAGGTCAGGAGACCAGGAGCAGAGGCAGGGTGCTGATCAGAGGAGGGTGCAGCATGGACAGAATATGGGAAACCAACCAGGGGAATTGAGAGTAGATCAGGCCAAAATAGCACATGTGGGGATGGTGAGATTCCCAGAATACAGTCCATAGCACCCATTCTTGTTTCCCTACTTGCCTGGAGTACCATCTGGGAAGGAAAAAAAAAACAAACCCAACAGCTTCCCTGGACCCATCTGACCATTTACCTTCTGATGGGGGGGGGGGGAAGAAGAGTATGTGTAGACAGAAAAATCCAATCCCTCCAGCTGCAACCATCATGGCCTGTTCCTTTGAATGATTATTGAAGCTGCTGTTAAAGTGTATGACCACTTACCACAAATTTCATTTAACCCTAATAAGTATATTTTGGGGTGGGAGTAATGAGCCAGTTAGAGAGAGGAAAATTCTATCCACATCTAGAGAAAAAGCTATGGAAGTTGAATTGCTATTTTTTTTCCTCTTCTGTTGAGTTTTGTTTCCTCTTTCTGATGGTTCCTCCTATTGGTTTTAATTTTTACTTACAACATCACCAATGTGAAAATATGTTTAATAGGAATGTAAATGTATAGTCTGTATCAGATTGTGTGCCGTCTTGGGGGAGGGTGGTGGGGAGGAAGGGGGAGAAAAATTTTAAATTCAAAAGCATATGGAAGTGATTATTGATAAATCAAAATAAATAAATAAATAATTTTTAAAAAGAGATAAAAGAGGGGGGAAAGCAGTAGTAGTACAGCTGATCCAAAGTAAGGGATCATTATAATAAACACTTTAAATTGGAAATTAAAAAAAGATAAAAATTCTTCAATATTAGAAGGCTATCCTCCCAGCCTGTATTACAATAATAATACCTCACAGTATATGTATATGTATATGTATGTATATAACATATTACATATATCTATATATAGCCATACCCACTAGACAGGCTTTTGACCTGGGAGAGAAAAGTTAATAAGGAAATGAGTTTGTATGCAGAGTAATATATGTGTGTAGAGGTGGTGGATGGGAGGGATGATAGGATTTCAGTGCCCCTTTGAAGCTTTGCCTGGATTGGAGGACTTCTAGAACCATACAAACTCTATTCACCCCCAGACCCATGCCCCTCCAAAAGGAACCTTCCTAAATCACATTGCTGAAAGAGCCAAGGTTACATTTTTCGCTTCCTCTAACATGTGGTGTCCTGCCGTAGCTACATCTCTAAGTTGGACTTTATAACCATTTCTCTACTCCCCTCCACCCCAAGAAAGTGTTCCATGCTATATACTATTTTTTTAAAAACACAGTGAATTTAAATGATTTTTGCTTAGGGAATTTTGGGATACCTCTTGAGGTTAGTGGGCAGCTAGGTGGCACCGTGGATAGAGCATTGCACTTGGAATCAGGAGGATTCATTTTCTTGAGTTCAAATCTGGCCTCAGATACTTACTAGTTGTGTGACTCTGGGTAAGTCATTCATGCCTCCTTGCTTCAGTTTCCTCATCTGTAAATTGAGCTAGAGCAGGAAATAGCAAACCACTGCAGTGTCTTTGCTAAGAAAACCTCAAAATGGGGTCACAAAGAGTCAGACATGACTGAACCACAGCAACTTGAGGTTGGTGGAGACACTTTATGAATCATTGACCTTACTCATCTATGTGTCTGCTTACGAGCTGTGGAAACTCCCAGCCTCCAGGTTTTCTTTGATACTAATAAACCTCGAGCCCAAACTGGCATTTAAGTTTTGACTTGAGGTAGAGGAGGCCTGGGCCCAGGCAAGTGCTAGAGGAGAAATAGATGGTCATTGGGTCTCTCCTCACCAATCTGCCCATTGTAGCAGCCTCCAATCAGGACATGTGAATCTTTGGGGTTGTACTCCAAGGTCACCAGGGGAGAAGATGGCTTCAGAATGAGCTCTGGTTTGTTTGGATTTTCTATAAAAAAAGGGGAAAAAACACACAAATATGAAGGATTGGGGCGGGGTGGCTTGGGGAGAAAGTCTTAACTTATTTAAATTAACTGTTACCTCCATGATCAAATATAAAATCCTATTTAGCATGTAAAGCCCTTCATGACCTGGCCCCTTTCTAGCTTTCCAATCTTTTTAAATGTTACTCCTTTTATCTAACTGCTACCCTGCATCAATCCATCTTGGGCAGATAGGTGGTGCAATGGATAAAGTGCCAGGCCTGGAGTCAGGAAGACTCGTCTTCCTGGGTTCAAATCTGGCCTCAGACACTTACTAGCTGTGTGACTTTGAGCAAGTCACTTAACCCTGCTTACCTCAGTTTCCTCATCTGTAAAATGAGCTGGAGAAGGAAATGGCAAACCACTCCAGGGCCTTTGCCAAGAAAACTCCAAATGGGATCACAGAGAGTCAGACATGATTGAAAAATGACTAAATAACAAAACATTCCGCCTTCCCTCTCTGCATTTATACCTGGAACGCTCTTCCTCCTCATCTCTTCTTCCTGCCTTCCCTGGTTTTCTTCAAGTCCCAGCTAAAATTCCACCTTCTATAAGAAGCCTTTCCCAATCCCGCTTAATGCTAGCGCCTTCCCTCTAGCTAGTTATCTCCAGATTATTCTGTATACATCATGTTTGTACATAATTGTTTGCATGTTGGATCTGAGCCCCTTGAAAGCAGGGTCTGGTTTGGGTTTACTTTTTGTTTTTGCCTTTCTTTATATTCCCAGCACTTAGGTGCTTAATAAATGCTTGTTAACTTGACTTCAAAAAGAAGAAAAAGAGAACAAAGAGAAAAAAAAATCAGTAAAACCTATTGAGTCACCAAAATTTGACAATATACATAATGTTCTGCACCACTAGCTTAAAATTTTACAACTAATGGAGGCTAACGGGACCTTTCAAAATTTTTAATGGGAGTCCTAGAATCTGGATTTTCCTCTAATTGTCAGTAACAGATGGCAGAACTTTCATATGTTGAAGTTGTTATTGGTGTTCAGTTGGGTCCAACTCTTCATGACCCCATTTGGGGTTTTCATGGCAAAGATAGCGGAGTGGTTTGTCATTTCCTTCTCCAGCTCATTTTGAAGATGAGGAAACTGAGGCAAACAGAGTTAATAAAGTCACCCAGCCGGTAAGTGTCTGAGGCTAGATTTGAACTCAAGAAGATGAGTCTTCCTTTCTGCAGGATCAGCACTCTACCCACTAAGCCGCCCAGATGCCCATGATTTAGAATGGAAAGACTTTCTTGTACCTGGCTCTGTGTGTCTTAGCAGTCTCTAAACTCAGCAATACCTAGAAAAATCTCACTAAGTATAATAACATCACCTGCAAAGTAGCTTTCAAAGAGAATTATTTTTTTGCAGCTACAGGTCTACTGAGGGACTCTTTATGCCCAAGACTTCATGGTACCTTCCTGCCAAAGCCCCCACCCCACTCCCACCAGCCAATCTACAAGATGCTGCTGTGTTCTTTCCATTTCTTTTTCTTTTCTTTTTTTTTGGGGGGGGAGTGGATGAGGCAATCGGGGTTGAGTGACTTGCCCAGGGTCACACAGCTAGTAAGCCTGTGTCTGAAGTCACATTTGAACTCAGGTCCTCCTGACTCCAAGGATCTCTTATCTACTGCACCACGTACATGCCTCTGTGTTCTTTCCATTTCTTACCCAGGTCCCAGATGAATGAGTCATAGCTCATGTTCACATCAGCCCGTTGGAAATCCAGACAGGAATATGCCACAGCTAACTTCCGGTTTGCATCAGGGTGCCAGGACAGGTGGGTTGCTGTACGTTTGATTTCATGTGGGTCCCTTTTGGGAAAAACAGAATCACATGCAAGATTGGGTTCCCCTATAGCGTAAGAGAGGGAGAAAAAATTCTTCAAAGTATAAGACTCTTGGGGTAAATTACATCACGCTCTTCATCAGGGAGGCCGGGAAGGATGTTAAATGTGCAACTGGGTTTTCACCTGGGCAGGGCCCTTAGCTCTTCTCCTAGCAGTTAGGTGGTACAGATATGGTGTGTGGAGTCAGGAAGACCCAAGTTCAAATCCATCCTTAGACACTGAGGATATGAAAGAGAAAATCCCTTAACCTTTATGGGTTCAGTTTCCTCATAACATGGGGATAATAGTAGCAGCTAACTCTCAGGGTTGTTTCAAGGATCAAATAAGATAATATTTGTAAAGTGAGTTGTAATTATTATTGTTGTTATTGTTATCATTATTACTACTATCCATTTCCACAAAGGTGGGCTAGACCTCAGACCATATCTATCTACGCCACCTATGAGCACTGATATTTATTTAGACAACTCACTGGGACACAAAGACATCACAAGAATTAACCCAAATTGGAGATTTTTATGGGATAAGAACATAAGTGGCCTGAGCTTCTACGGTCATGATGCCTGGCACCCAGGTAATGCTTCAAGTCTTCATGGAGTCAGTTCTTCCCATCATGATTACTTACATAGTCAGTCAGTCAGTCAGTAACAAGCATTTATAAATGGCTTCCTATGTACCAGGCACCAAATCAGTTGGCAAGCAGCCTTATCCAAGGGCCAGAAACCTCCTTTTAAATGGACAGGGAAGCTCATTCCTCCCAATTTACTGAGTGTTTAGAGGGAGTAGTGACTAAGCTTTATAAAGTAGTTGGAAGGCCATTGTAATTATTTTTTAATTCAGAATTTCATCCAAGTGCTTTTTATGATCAATTCTAAATTCAGTGCTTTGGCATCTGGATCTAGGAAAATGCAGACTGGACCAGGTAGAAGTCTCCTGGCCTTCGAATTTCTGATCCCAGCTCCATTAGAGATTCCAATTACAAGAAATTCCAACCAATTAACTCAGGTTTAACAGGTCCAGACTGCTAAAATCTGTAAAATATAAGGCTGTGCCAACAATGAAGAGATTGGGAATGAATGTAGAGCTTCATAAAAAAAACGTTTCTTCCACAAAAATAACAAAATTGTTTATAGGCGTGGTTTCAATTTTGGTGGCAGCTAAAGTGGCATAGCCAGCCTGGAGTCAGGAAGATTCATCTTCTTGAGTTCAGATCTGGCCTCAGACACTTACTAGCTGTGTGACTTTGGCCAAGTCACTTCACCCTGTCTGCCTCAGTTTCCTCATCTGTAAAATGACCTGGAGAAGGAAATGGCAAACCACTCCAGTATCTTTGCCAAGAAAACCCCAAATAGAGTCACAAAGAGTTGGACACATCTTAAAAGACTAAATAATAACAATAAATGTTTTCAATGACCACCTTATGCAGATGACTTAGATTTATTTGTCCAGTCCTATAATCTCTTTTCCATCCTCCTGTCTTGAATCTGTACATGCCTATAAGACATCTGAAAGTGGATTCCTGTAGGTATCTTAAATTCACCATGCCCCAAACTGATTTCATTATCTTTCCTCCCCCAACCTTCCCCTACTTCCTAACTTCCCTTATTACTGTTACCACCCTACGAGACACTCTGGCTTATAACCCAAATGTTAATCTCAACACCTCACTGTTCCTCATTCCTTAATTACAGAGTCAGTGGTCCAGTCCTATCATTTCTATCTTCGTAATATTTCTCAAACGTGCTCCTTTCTGTCCTCTAACACTGCACCCACCATGGTGCAGGCCCTCATGTCCTCATGCCTGGACTATGCCTCCTCCAGTCTTTCCCTTCTCTAGACCATCCTCTATTTAGCTGTCACATTAATCTTCCTAAAGTACAGGTCTGACCATATCACTCCCACCCTCTCATTCAGTCAATTCCAGTGGCTCCTAATTACACCCAGGATCACATATAAAGTCTTCTGTTTGGCTTCCCAAGCCCTCCATAATCTGCTTCCTTCCTACCTATGCAGTCTTCTCATACCTTACTTCACTCCCCAAGCCTCCTCCCATCCCACCATATTCTGTCGTTCAGTGACACTGGCCTCCTTGCTACTCCTTCCATGAGACTTTACTCTGGACATTTTCACTGCCGTGTTCTGGGATGTCTAGAACATTCTCCCTCCTGATCTCCGTCTGCTGGCTTCAAGTTCCATCTTCTACAGGAAGCCTTTCCCAGTCCTTTTGAGTCTTAGCGCCTTCCCTCTGAAATGGCTCTCAATTGTCACGCATAGATCTTATTTGGACATAGTAGTTTGTATGTTGCCTTTCCCATTAGACTGTGAGCTACTTGAAAGGAAAGATTGTTGTGTTGTTTTTTTTTTTGAGGGGAGCCATGTTTGCTTTCTACCTTTCCTTTTTATCCCCAGCAGTTAGAAGAATGTCTGGCACACAGCTTGACTAGGCTGACTCTTTTCTCCCCCTACCTCTGTGAATGGTTTTAAAAACATTGTTTTATAGAGGGAATTCTTGAACATGTGTGAGGGTGGGGGTGGGGTAGTACAGGCTGAACTAGATTACTACTGAAGACTCTTCTAGCTCTGAGAGGCTGTGAGTCTTCAATCACAGAGAAAAGGCCCTCTATTTCCTATCCTTTCCAGATGGGAGTGAGTCCAGTGTGATCTCTTCCTTCTCTGAGCTCCTATAGTACTCGTTATTCAGTCATTTAAGTCCTGTTTGACTCTTCATGACTCCATTTGGGGTTTTCTTGGTAAAGATATGGAGTGGTTTGCCATTTCCTTCTCCAGCTCATTTTACAAATGAGGAAACTGAGGCAAACAGGGTTAAATGACTTGCCCAGAGTCACACAGCTAGGACGTGTCAGAGGCCAATAGTACTTACTGGATCCCATCCTCCCATCTTCTCAGGCAATTATTTCCTAATAAGATTTTAAGCTATTTGAAAGCAGGGGCCATGTTTTCTATATCCTCCACAGCACCTAGCCAAATGCCCTGAATGTTTATCAAGTAGGTACTCAATAATTTTTAAATAAATCTGAGCATCTATATGCACATACATGAATACCTCTACGTTAATCTCAATCTTTACCATAAGAGTATAGATTTAGAGCTAGGAGGTTTAAAATCTTTTCTATATCATAGACCCCTGGGACTGTATGGTGAAACCTAAGGACTCTTTCTCAGAAGAATATTTTAAAATGCATTACATAAAATATGTAGGATCAGAAAGGAAACTAATTAAATTAAAATGTAGTTATCAAAATATTTTAAAAACAAGTTTATAGTCTCTAAGTTAAGAACCTCTTGTCTAAAATGAGGAGTTTGGACTTGGGGTCATCTAGTCTAATGGAACAGGGACCAGAGTGTGGGACTTGGAAACAAAGACCTGGGTTCATATGCCACTCAAATGCTTTCTAGCTGTGTGATTACTTCTTTGAATAACATTTTTCTCAAATGTAAAATTGGGATAATACTACCTGTAATACCTATCTCACAGAGTTATAAGATAATTTCTGTGAAGTACTTTGTAAGTTTTTAAATGCTATATATTTTATTATTATAATTATTATAGTTTTATTATTACAGATAGAAAAGCAAGGCTATGACTTGACCAAGGTCACATATGTAATAAATAAGAAGACCAAGATTTGAACCCAGGTCCACACGCTCCAAATCCAGCAACCTTTCAATAGCTCCACACATCCTCTCCAACCTAGTTCACTACAGCATATCAAGGAATCTGGAAAGCCCTTCCCTGGACTTCTGAATCAGTTCAAAGACAAGAGTACATGACCCCACTCAAGTATTTGTGCTATTATTTACCTGCCAGTTTGTTAATATGGAAGACTTCACAGAATGAGAAGGGAACTTTGAATTTATGTAGCCCAAGGATTCTTAATCCCGGTGCCCATGAACTTTGGTTTTTTTTTAAAAAAAAATTTGGATAATTGTATTTCAATGCAATTGGTTTCCTCTGTCATTCTGTGTATTTTATTTAATGCATTTATGAATGTCCTTCTGAGAACATATCCACGACCTTTTTCACCACACTGCCAAAGGATACCATTAAAAAAACTTCAATCCAGGACAACCCCCCCCTTTTTTTTTTTAAGGAAACAATGAGGTTAAATAACTTGCCAAGGGTCACACCGCTAGTAAGTGTCTGGAGAGGCTGGATTTGAATTCAGGTCCTTCCTGCCTCCAGGGCTGGTACTCTATCTACTAAGCCACCTAGCCGCGGCAAAATCTTCATTTTGACAGAGGTGGAACTGAGTCCTGAGGGCTGCTGTGGCTTGCTTTACTACAGACACATAACTCAGTAGGGGTTTGAATTTGGGGCTTCTGACTCCAAGTCCCACGCTCTTTCCTCTTTGCTGTTTATAAATTGCTTTCTCCGTGTCCTTAAAGCCTTTGCATATTTATCCAACCCTTCCATTTAGCCTGTATTCTCCAGTGATAGGAATTATCATTTTCTCCTGTTATCTTCCTATGCTAGGTGCTACATTAGATTGGGTGCTACACCTGAAATCAGGAAGACCTGAGTTCAAATCCTGTCTCAGGACATTTAAATGACTGTGTGACCCTGGGCAAATCATTTCATCTCTCTGGGCCTCAACTTCCTCCTCTGTAAAATGAGGCAATTGGACTCAACAGCCTCTGAGGTCCCTCCTAGCTCTAAGTCCTATGACACATGGTTCTTCGTCAAGGGTCTCACATCAAGCTCTGGCCGACTGGTGAGGGATCCCTATTCACTGGGAGCATCTTGTCCCTGGAGTGGATGTGAGGTAAGGCTTGGGCAGAGACATGGCCTAGCTGTGGATACCTGAAAACGTTGATAGTTTTGGCTGAAAGAACCTCATCAGATACTTCTACTTCATCCTCTTCGTCAAAATACTCCCCATAAATATCAATGGCATTGTTCTGTTTAATGCAGTGCTCCATCACCTGGGACACAGAGGAGAACAGTTTCTGTCGTTCTTTTTAGACTGCTCAGGTTTTGAAGAACAGAGTCTAAAGTGAAGGGGTAAAGGGTGGGGCAGAGCAGCTGGAGGGGGGAGGTTGAGGGGGATGGAGGATTTGATGGTCAGAAACTGTTCAGGATATTGTCTAGTGCACCATGGAGCTCTTCTAGCTGCTGAGAAATGAGCAAAGGAGGGAGAAGGAAGGGAGAAGAGCTAGGTCTGGTTCCTGACGAGTGGCTCTGGAGTAACTAAATGAGAATTAAGATGTCCCTTCTTTCGTTCTTCCTTCCTTCCTTCCTTCCTTCCTTCCTTCCTTCCTTCCCCCCTCTCTCCCTCTTTTTCCTTCCTTCCTGCCTTTCCTTCCTTCTTTCCTTCCCTCTTTCCTTCTTTCCTTCCTTCTTTCTCTCCCTTTCCTCCCTCTCTCTCTCCTTCCTTCTTCTTTCTTTCCTTTCTTCTTTCCTTCCTCCCCTCCCTTCCTTTCCTTCCTTCTTTTCCTCCTCCCTCCTTCTCTTCTTTTCTTTCTTCCTTCCTTCCCTCTTTCTTTCCTTCCTTCTTTCTTTCCTTCCTTCCTTTTTTCTTTCCTTCCTTCTCTCTCTCTCTTTCCTTCCTCTCTCTCTCTCTCCCTCCTTTTCTTCCTTCTTCTTTCCTTTTTCCTTCCTCCCCTCCCTTTCTTTCCTTCCTTCCTTTCCTCCTCCCTCCTCTTCTTGTCTTCCTTCATTCCTTCCCTCCCTCTCTCACTTAATAACTAGGTCTCACTTTCTCACTTAGGCTAAGTGCAAGACTTACTCAAAGCCAAATCCCAGTATTGACAGGCATGAGATGAGAGCTTTGGCCTACTCTCTTCTGCCACACCTTAGGCAATGGTCTGGACAACCCAACTCTTTCCCTGCACGCTTCTTGGGGACTCACCATATTGATTCTGAAGTTATTGTGGACACCCAATTGGCTTATCCCACTGTAAAAGCAGAGATCCAACAGTTTCAGTCTCCCCAGCAAATAGGATTATAGGTATGTGCCACCATGGCTGGCTGGTGTATCTATTTTGTGTATATCCTGTATTTATTATCTGTGAACATATATTTCTCCCAATAGAATGTAAACTCCTTGAGGGCCAGAACTATATCACTTTTATATTTGTATACTAGCTCCTAACATAGTGCCCAGCACATAGTAGGGGCTTAACAAATTAGGTTTGTTTATTGATTATGGTCCCCTTAGGGAAGGAGTTCCTCTGAGGGTTTTAGAGTCATCATTGCAGGAACGGGGCTCCCTCCATTAAAATGTATTATGGAGTTCCTTTTTCCTGCTAAATCTGACCATCTCTTGGGATAGGGTTGGGTGGAGGATGGGGTGGATAGAGAGCAGAAAAAAAGAACTTGCTGCCTCACATAACCAAGCTGCATGATGGCATTGATATAATTCTCATCCTTTTCCACTTTCTTCCGGAATCGTATCGTCTGCTCCAATTCTTGTGGATTCACATCTTTGGGCCAGCCCCCTTCTAAGTGATTAATTCCTCGGGTCTCCATCTCAAATCTCTCTGTGTTGACCTATAAAATACAGGACGGAAGGTAAAAAAACAAAAACAAACACAAAATGCTCAGTTTCAGTTTCACCTCACATCCATCAGAATGGAGAACAAGACCAAAAAAGGGAAGCAGTGAATTTTGGAAAGGCTGTGGGACGACAGACACACTAACACTGTATGGCGCTATGAACGTAATCAACCGTTCTAAATAGCAACTTGGAATTATGGGAGAAAGGTCACTAAACTGTTCATTCCCTTGGACTCAGTGATCCTTATAGTGGGCCTGCAACCAAGGAGGTCAGAGACAGAAAGAAAGGTCCCATATATAACAAATATATGTGGTAGTGTTGTGCTTCTCTGTGGGGAATGAATAGGGAATCAATTCTGGAGGAATTAAAGGATTGCTTTGCTGTAGTAAGAGACCATTTGAAAAACTAGCATCAAAGGGGTGTCTATCCACTGGGAAACAAATTATGGTATGCGCTATAGTGAAAAAATGTTATTATGGTATAATGTATTGAGCCATAAGAAATGAGAAATTTTAAAAAAAACATTGGAAGACAGATGAAATCATGCAGAATGTGAGAGAAAACTAGGAACCACAATAATTTCATTACATCTTGATGAACTAAAAATGTAGAAATCCCCCAACCACCTGGTGGCCTAATATTCAAAAGTCCCCAGCTCCTATGAAAGCACATGGTAAAGCAGATGGTCTCATCCACTGCTGTAACAACTATTTGCTGTCCTTAAATAAGAGACCCTGCTGTTTTGTCTGAAAGGACTGCTTTCACAATTATAAAAGCATTTGATCTCTTTCTCTTGCCTCCAGCCCTTGAACAGGAAATGTTTTCTTTTTTTGGATTATAAATCCTTCCACTTGCATTCCAACCCACCTCCTCCCCCACTCCTTTTTCTCCCTTCATCTTCTTTCTCTACCCCTCCCTTTCCTATGAAATGCTTTACTTTCCTATCCTAAGAATCCCCAGAATGTTGCTGATTGGTTAGTACTCTGAGTGGTCCTGAAATGTTACAAAAACCAAATATTCGTTGTTATCAGCAAGGGCTGATTCCTTAGTATGGCCAATAAATCTCTTTCGTTTTGGTCTCCCATCTTTGACCCACAGTCATTGGACCCCTGATGATGGGTATGCCTTGTCCAGAAGATGAAGAGAATACCCTGACAGGAGCAAAAAAAGCAGGACCAGAAGAAAAATATACACAATAACAACAATAATGTCAATGAAAATATTAAAAGGCAGCTAACAATTCAAGGAACAGTCTTGGTTCTGAAGGAAAGAGAATGTAACAAAGACCCTTCCCATAAGTACTGGGGCAGACATTGCCTAGGTGGTCTGAAATGGTTACTGGTTTTCCTTATTGTCTTTCTTTTGCAGTATGGAGCAGTGGTTAAAAAACCGACCTCAAAGTCAGAAGGACCTGGGTTCAGGTCCTTCCTTTGACACATATTGGCTTTGTGACACTGGGCTAATCACTTAACCTCTTAATACTCTAAGCAAGTCTCTAAGATTATAAATTGTAGAAAATGTGCTTATCTTCACTGATGGAGGGAGGTTCTTCACCAGGGATTTTCCTGTACCAACGAAATTATAAGTACAGCTCCTATCTCTAACCCTAAGGGAGGGTTCAATGTGTGGGAATTAGAATATGCTGAGAAATTATTATTATGTTTTATTTAAAGGCATCATTTAAAAAAAAAGCACTGAGTTGCTTCTACAAAAACACTATTTGGAAGTTCAAGACTCCCTCTCCTCAGAGGTGGAGGGGATGGAAAAATCTCCAAGACAATCATTATGGGAATGCACACAAGGAATTAGAAGACTAGAAGCAATCTTGCTGGCTCTCCATTCTCCCCATCTCCCCAAGTCATCATGATCATATGCCTTTAAGTAGACCCCTGATTCACATTGGGGAATGATGCTACCTCATGCTCTGACATGTCATAAGAACACTGAATCCCTGTATCCACAGGATCCCGAATGACAAACTGTTCCATGAGCTCTGGATTGGGTGGGATGTCGATGCTCAGCTCTGCCTGCCGGTCGCTGAAGTTGCATTGCTTCCCAAACTCGCTGCGATTCTTCACATACACGTAGACTATCTCCATCGTGGCGGCTAAAAGTAACTACAACAGTAATAGAGAAGTTAGGAAGAGGGGAAACATTTAGGGAAAAGATAATGAGTCAGTTTGGGGCGTGTTGAGTTTGGGATGTCTGTGGGGCGCTGAGAAGATAGTTTCAGTTTCTTTTAAGGAAAAATTATCTGAACCTGAATAAGGTGGGGGGTTAAGATATTGCTCCTTCTATATCAAGTTTAAAACATAAATGAGGGTGCCACTGATAGAAATAGTGAAGAGAGAAGAAAGAGCCAATATAAGGTAATAGAAATTGAGTTATATTTTGGACAGAGTTTAAAGTGCTGATAGTATGTGTCTGGACTATAGAGTGTTGGGCCTAGAGTCAGGAAGACTCATCTTCCTGAGTTCCTGTCTGGCTTCAGACACTTACTAGCTGTGTGACCCTGGATAAGTCAGTTAACCTTGTTTGCTTCAGTTTCTCCACCTGTAAAATGAGCTGGAGAAGGAAATGGCAGACCACTCCAGTATCTTTGCCAAGACAACCCCAAATAGGTTCACAAAGAGTGGGACGCAACTGAAAAATGACTCGACAGCAGCATACAACTAATTGGAAAAGTCTCATAGGTGATTGGAAGTGTGGGTCTGGAACATGGAAGAGCGGTCAGGATTGGACATAAAGATTTAGAAGAAACAAGAATAATAACAATAGCTAACCTTAGCATTTTAAGTTCAACTGTACACTGTCCACTTCTCTTAAGTCCCTTATCCCCTTAACCTTTTATATTAGATCTTGCCCAGCCAACCCTTTGCCTTAGATCATTCTAACATCTGCTACCTTTATCCCCAATATATGTACAGCTGAATGAAGATGGAGGAAAAAAATCCCAAAACCATATTTACTGGGTCCACTACAAATTTAGGTGGTACAAGCTCACTGCTGCAAGACAATCCTTTTACATCTTCCTAATTAGCTCATTATCCCACTCACCACAATCTCTCCTTAAATCTCCCATGGTTCTCTCTTCTCCTTCCCTCTCAGCTAAGAACCTTGCCTCATATTGTACTGGAAAAAAAAATCAAGGCCATTCAGTGAGATCTCTCTTCTCCCCTTCTCCTTACCTCACATCACCCAGATGCCCTCTACCATCTCTCCTTCTTTGTCCTGTCTCACATGAAGAGGTGGCCCCTTTCTCTTTGCCAAGGGTCCTCTACTTGCAAAAGTGATCCCAACCCACCCTGCCTCCTCTTATGGACTGCTTGATCTGTCATCCTCCCCCTCTCACTTATCTTCCATCTCTCCTTGTCTATTAGCTGTTTCCCTTCTGCGTACAAACATGCCCCTGTTTCCCCCATCTTTGAAATCCCCTCACTTGATCCATCTGTCCCTGCTAACTGTTGCCCCATATCTCTTTTGTGGCTAAACTCTTTGAAAAGCTATGAGAGGAGCTCCTTACAGTTAGGCTTCATCATTCACCTTAAGTTATTATTTAAAGCCATACTTCATTGTTTCCTCTCAATCCCCCTCCTTCTTAACCCATCTGCCAGCTGACTCTTTAAAGACAAAGATTAAAACTCACTTAAATTTTATATCTTCCCCAACACTAAGCATAGTGCTTTGCATACAATAAGTTCTCAATGTTTGTTATATTTGTATGCACTCAACGAACATGAATTAAGCACATACTATGTACAATCCTGAGCAGTTGGATGGCACAGTGGATAGAGTGCTGGGCTTGGAGTCAGGAAAACTCATCTTTATCAATTCAAATCCAGCCTCAGACACTTACTAGCTGTGTGACCTTGGGTAAGTCACTTAACCCTGTTTGTCTCAGTTTCTTCATCTGTAAAATGAGCTGGAGAAGGAAATGGCAAACCATGCCAGTATCTTTGCTAAGAAAGCTCCAAAAGGGGTCATGAAGAGTCAGACATGACTGAAAACAACTAAACAACATGCCTGATCCACTATGCCAGGCGATGGGGAAGACAGAGATACACCAGAAAGGAGATACTCCAAAGGTGCTTAGAATCGAGTGGGGAGGGGAGAGAAAACATGGACACAGACAAATAGAATGCATATTAGAAGCTGTTGAAAAATATTAATACTGCCCTCTGCACCTCAGGTACAAGTTTTTGAGAAACAATTTTTATTTAATTTAACATTAATCAAATATCCAAGCACTTCTAGTTTAGAGGGAGAAATACACAAATTGGCATATTATACACATACCCCTCTACCCTTGATTTCAGATAACATTTATAAAAAGTATGTTAAAATACAGTTTTGCCTTAACATTTTAGAGCAAGTCACCACTCAATTGCTTCTTTGACAATTCCTCTCAAGGACCACAGAGATCTCTTCTCAATGATCAATATCTCAGTCCTTCCTGAATGGAGAAGGGTACCTTCTTCAGGGGATGGGGAAAGCAAGGATCTGAATCAGACTAAAATTAAATTTGCTTTCCACCCTTAATCCATCTCCCTAAGAAAGGCCTTGTGTTCTTGACTTAACCTACCTTCCAAAGGAGACCAGTTTGAAAAGAGTTTTCGACTAGAGAAATTTTTTTTCCTATAGTAAACTATACAGGTTTTTAATATGCTTCCACAAAATACAAACTTCAATATTTCTAGTAAGAGGCATATAAAGAACTCTGAGGTCAGATGAGAAAGAAATCACTGCCAGTCGGGAGGATAAAGGAAGATTCTGTCCCGGGATCACATATAGTCTATAATATTTATTATTCCAACTAAATCTGGGAACTGTGGTTTTGAAAAGGACAGCTGGATGGAAGTGTGGCTCAACTCCTTGCCTCAGAGAGCTGTCCTTCAGTAGTGAAGAAGGCAATGAGCTGAGGACTTGGGTAGCCATGGGCCCAGAAAATTCAAATGATGGAGATTAGTTCCTGAATCCCTGGGCTATTTTCAGGGATATGATGGTGAGTTGGTCAGTTAATAAACATTTATTAAGCACCAACTGTGTACCGGACACTGTGCCAAGTGCTAAGGATACAAAGAAACACAAAAGACTGTGAATCCTCAAGGAGCTAGAAATAATCAATTAGAAATAATCAACAGAGGGAGGCACCAGCAAAACAGAAAACAAATCAGAATACCTCCTGAGGAAAGCCGGAGGGTGGGTAGGAGGTAGCAAGGGGATACCTTGATAATAATAACAACAATTATATAGTGTTTCGTTTTGCAAAGGAGGGCTGTACATGTTATCTCATTAAATAATAATAATAATTTTTATTATAGGTAGTATTTATATAGCATTTCAAGGTTTGCAAAGCATTTTACAAATATTATCTGATTTTATCCTCAAAACAATTTTAGAAAGTAGGTGCTGTTATTATCCCTATTTCACAGATTAGGAAATGAAGGTAGATAGAGGTAAAATGACTTGCCCAGGGTCATGCATCTAGCATATGTCTAAGCAGGGTTTGAAGTTAGGTCTTTCTGTCTCCAGATCTAGTGCTCTGATCTACTGTTTGCCACCTGGGTGCTATTAAGGTCCCCATTTCACAGATGAAAAACCAAGGCACAGATAGATTAAGTGACTGGAGTCACACAGCTATTACCCAAAACTGATAAAATTACCATGTGCTACTCAAGAATCACAACTTTTCAGAACTGAAAAAGACCTTAAGAAATAGTTCAAACTTATTTTACAAAATGAGGAACTGAGGGCCTAAAGAGGATAAATGACCGTATTAAGGTCACACAATCATATGTGAGAGACCTAGAACCAGAACCCAGGATTTCTGTATTTGAAGCTTCCATGCTGTGGAGAAGCAGCAATGGATCCAGTAGGAAGGTAACACCAATTGCAGGGCATTTTTTTTTTAAGCAATCAGGGTTAAGTGACTTGCCCAGGGTCACAGCTAGTTAATTTCTGAGGCCAAACTTGAACTCAGGTCCTCCTGACTCTAGGGTCAGTGCTCTATCCACTGGGCCACCTAGCTGCCTCACAATTACATCAAATCATCAAATCTAATTTGTTTTAATTGTAAGTGAAGTAGCGAATAGAATATCAGAACTGGAGTAAAGAAGGCCTGGGTTCAAAGAATTTGAACCTTCTGACACATACTAGTTGTGTGGTCAAGAGCTTAATTCTCCTGAGCAGGTGTGTAGGTCCATCCCTTAATAACCTGATGGTCATGTGGCTTGGTAGAGAGAGTTTCCATACTGAAGAAATCACAAATCCCTTATCTTACATATAAATAATAATAGAAGTGGACAGTTATAAAATGCTTTACATACATTATCCCATTTGATCTGAGAGACATCAGAATGCAATGGATTGGGTCAGGAAGACAGGTTCAAATCCTGCCCCATGCACTTACTAGCTTTGTGACCAGGAGCATATGATGCCTCACCCTCTTTCACCCTCCTTGCCAATAGCTAATCCGTTGCCAAAGCCTGTCCCCATTAATCTTTGAAACATCTCTTAAGGCGTCCTCTCTCTCCTCTGACACAGCCACCACTCCAGTGAAGACCTCATCACCTCACACCTGGATTTTTACAACAGCCTGTTGGTGGGGCTCTGGACACACCTGTCTCCTCAATCTAGTCTGTCCTCCACCAAGCTGTCAAACTCATCTTCTAAAGCAGAGGTCTGACCCTGTTACCTCCCCCTCCCACCCACCCACACACCTCAGTAAACTCCAGTGAGTCCCTATCATCTTCAAGGTCAGAGATAAAATCCTCAGTCTGGTGTACAAAGTCCTTCCTAAGTTCCCCCTCACTCCCATACTTTTTCGGTCTTCTTACACTTTATTTTATCCTTCTCACACACTCCCATGTACTCTGAGATCCAGTGACATTGGCCTTGCTGTTTTCCCACTGACACCCGATCTCCTGAATGTGCATTTTCTTCTCTTTTTTTCTTTTTCTTTTCCTTTTTTTTTTTTTTAGGCAATTGGGGTTAAGTGACTTGCCCAGGGTCACACAGCTAGTAAGTGTCAAGTGTTTGGTCTGAGGATGGATTTGAACTCAGGTCCTCCTAACTTCAGGGCCAGTACTCTATCCACCGTGCCACCAGCTGCCCTTAA